ACACATCTCAAAAAATTGTTTTATTTAATAAGAGATTTCATTATTCTTGTCTTGAGAACGACCTCTTCGAAACGTTACACTATTCAAATTTCATGAAATTTGGTGGAATCTGATAATATTTGTAAATTATTGAGAGATTTTGCAACTTATATAATTTGTCCTTCTTTGCATTGCAATTCCCATAAAATAGGAAAAGAATGTTTCCTTTATAATTAAATTTTATTTTATTATAAACACATAAATTGATTTTCATTTCAAAATCATGACTTGCTTGATTTGTAATTATGAAAACAATTTTCTGTTCTTAGAAAACTGTACAAAAATTCGGGGTCTGCTTAGTTTGTAACTTTGAGAACAGTTTTCTGTTTTCAGAAAATAAAAAAAAATAAGAAAAAAAACTATGCAAAAAACTATGCTTGGTTCAAATTTCTGAAAAATATTTTCTGAAAAACTCAATTATAAAAAGGTCTTTATTTTCAGAGAATTTCTTTTATAGTTCTCTTAAAACAGTTTTCTATTCTCTGAGTTTTTTAGAATTATTCTCAGAGTTACAAACCCTATTTGGTTCAATTTTTTTATTATTTCGTAACTCTGAAAACAATTCTAAAAAAAACTAGAGAATAGTTTTCAGATAACTATAAAATATTTGTAACTCTGAAAACAGTTCTGAAGAATTCAAAGAACGGATAACAGTTTTTAGAAAACAATAAAAGACAGTTTTCAGAAAACAGACCTTTTTATAACTGAGTTTTCAAAAAACTGAACCAAGGAGAGTTTTTTGTATAGTTTTCTTCTCAGAGTTACAAACCAAGTAAGGCCATTATATGAAAAACATGCATTTTTATAACTGAGTTTCATTTTTATAACTTAGTTTTGAAAAAACAATTTTTAGAAAACTGAACCAAACAAAATTTTTTTGTATAGTTTTCTATTTTAATTTTCCGAAAATAGAAAATTGTTTCCATATTTACAAACCAAGCGAATGTTTTCAAAGAACTATAAAAGATTGTTTAGAGAACAGTTTTTTGTTTTCTAAATTTTTAATAACTAAATTCAAAATTACAAACCAAGCTGGCCCATTAATTATCATTCATTTTCCAAATCCAATCCAACTGTGTTCATATCTTCCCACACAAACAAATGATGTGATTCCAAGTTTAGCATATTTTTTAAAAGAATATTCCCGTTACATTTTATTTTTCAAAGATGATACAGTGGTCAATTTAGAAATATCCTAATTTTTAGGCAAAATCAACTAGATTTTTTAAACCAACTTCTCCTTTCATGTGTTTATCTATGTTACTTACATGCTATGGTGTAAAGTTACAAATAAATTCAATTATTTGTGAATGGTTCGTAATTAGTTTGTTTAAAATACAGTAAGCGTTCAAGTCCGATGTTTAGATTTGTTTAATAAATGAGTCAATTTCAAATAGTGTTAGGTGAGCTCGTAAACACTAATTTCATGAAGGCACGTATGCGACCATTAACATAATAGGCTCATAAGTACCTTTATAAGTATCATCTTGTGTTACTTAAATTAATGAACGTAAACTAAATAATAGTTAAAGTAATACTCAACACGAGTTTAAACCAAACCCAAACACAAATGTAAATATGTTTGCGACTATTACACGAACCAAACTGGTACTTTTCAAAAGTGAGACTATAATTGGCTTTTGTGTTCATGATTTTAATTTGGTTAATTTGGCCACGTAGAAAACTTGGAAGGATCTAATTGACTAATCTTTTGGTTAGTAGATTGTATTGTGTGTTTCTAATCCACTATATATTTGTTTCGTTTAAACTTTAAACTAAGAATATCTGATATATTCATAATGTGACAAGTAAATATATCACGCGCAAAGTGAAATTTGTTATTATGGGGCTCGTAACATGATGGGCCCCACATTGGCTAATAAAACACTCATTGCTGGTAGTGAGTGTTATAGGGCGGTAGTTATAAAGGGCAATTTGGATCCAAAGTGAGAAAATTGACGTATTGGTATTTACTGTTGCCAATTTTTTTATTTCTTTTTTTTTTTTTTTTTTGAGTGTTTACATTCTAATAATTAGGCTCCATAAGTTGTTTTAAATTAAATTAACCTAAATTGGTACACTTTTGGAACAGGCTCCATTTTTCGTTATCACTGCTATTTAAATGGGCCTATTTGAATGAAGCAGGTTCAAATAATCTGGACTGGAAGAGATCAGATTTGAATAGAGAGGGATGGGATGGAGAAGATATCGTGATATGTCGAGTACACTCAATATCTATTTTATGAGATGAGAAAATTAAACTATTCTCGAATTGGAGACAAGTGTGGAACAATCTAGTAATAATAGGATAATATAAGGTTTATGGAAACCCGTCCGAGAGCCACCCCATGGTCCCTATTGCACGCCCAATTACACGTTTTGTTTTTCTTTTTCACAAAAGACTTGTTTGACAACTTAATTCGTCACTTAATATTGAACGGATTAAATACTTATTCAATTAAGTGTGTTTAAGTTACATTACGATCGCAAGTGACTTATCAACCGATTCGTAACTCTTTTTCAAGGATTCGATACCATTACACACCTTCATGAATCGACCGGTTTACAACGATTTTACCCAAATCCGTTACACCGCGACCGCAAGCGATACCGTGATTGTGAACCACAATTGATACTTGTGTGTTAATATACTAGTCTTATGAAAATAGAGAATAAAAAAAAAAAAAAAAAAAAAGTTGAAAAAAAAAGATATTGCAGCTACAAGATGAATCTTAAGGAATCTTCAAGGCACATATATATACTCATATATTTTAAATATACATATAAATGAAATTGCAAGAGGGCTACTCTTGGCACAATGGTAATGTTTTTTCATTGTGACTTGAAAATCACGAGTTAGAAACAAGACTTTAGTTGTCGGCATGTTTCTTTCCCGTGATTCATGTGGAAGGAGAAATACATAGGAGTAGGGCAAGTATTCCATGGAATTTCTGATCTCATAGCGACAACAAAATCCTTATATGCACCTTGAAGCAGGATAAATGAAACAACTAATATAAATCATTGGCCTTCTTCCTCTGAAACTGATTTCTGTAGAACACTGAAAAAATGCACTGCGCAAAAAAAGTGTCAAAAGGTCACAAAAAGAGGGAAAACTTTTTAACTCTCATTTTTGCTTTATGCGAGCAGGAAATATATAAATTCATATTTCCTTGAATACATAATTGTTATTCACATTGCTTGAGCATCTCTTTACCATACACACCATGAATAAATAACACCATGAATAAATAACGTTGAACAAAAAATAATTTAATTCGGATAGAAAAGTGATTGGATATAAATGAGTGAGTATGAAGTACTTCAATAAATTGACAAACGTCCACCCGTTACACAACCCTTCAGCGACATAGCATGCATTTAAATACATTTACTATAAATTTATAAGAACATACTTAATTATTATTCAAATTAAATGGGTATAATTAAAATTAAATGGGATGTGGTAAAAGAAAAGGGTTTCCATCCATCTCATAGATTGAAATTTCTACTTTTAAATTTAACTTTTTTCTTCTTCCAGAATCATGCCATGTGAAGGATCAGAGTAATACAATTTGGGTTATACCTTGTACCCATACCCATGTTGTGTCACGTGTGAAGGGAAAAAGGAAGGTCCGTGCGATAGAGCTTAAATGCTAAATTACAAACCCAACATAATTTGGAGATTGACAAGGGAGAATGTGCTCCCATTGTTTTAGACCTACAACTCATCATAAACACAAATACGGCAGCCCTTTGCAATGTTCATGAGCATTTACGCTTGATTAAAAGATGACGTGAGCGAGGCGAACCATTATTGAAGTATTGAGTCAATAAATATAAGCATCCACCAAAAAACATGGTATATAAGCATTTAACAGAAATTCATTCACAAAATATATGTCAAATACATTCATGTTAGTTTACATTGGGTGGGGGTTGGAGTGAGTGCAGGGGTGTCTCTACTGGTTCAAGTGCCAGGGCTTCATGTTAGCAGCAACAGTTGTTTTTAATCGTTTGGTGCGGCGGCGGCGATAATCAGAATCACCATTGTCGATGATGTCAAGAACCCTCTCGGCTTCTTTAAGCTTGTTGGCAAAGGCGGCAATAATTGCATAATCTTTGTACCCACGAGAGAATTTGTGCTTAATTTCTTCAAGTTCTGCAACAGCTCCAAAGACCTGAGTTTGAAGGGATGTGAAGAGAGAGGAGTCTGCAGCAGCAGCAGCAGCAGGTGGAGTAATTGACATTAGGGTTTGTGTCTGTGAAGATAGAAAGGATCGATTGGGCGAAACTTCCAACAGTCTCGATGATGCCATTTGAAGGAGAAGAGAGAGTCGGTTGTGGCAATTGATGATGAGATTCGTGGGAACAAATTTTAGGGTTTTGAAGAGAGAGAAGGTTGTGGCGTGGCAATTGACGACGACGACGATGAGATTATGTGATTGAGATTAGACGGACTTTCTTATATAGGAGAAGTACCGTACCGCACAATGTTCTGGTTGGAGTTCTGGAGAAGGATCAGGAATCGTAATGGGTTTGGGTACCTCTCTTGGGCCGGCCTACTTGTTTAGAGACTCTGTCCCATTTCCTGCTTTGGCCCAAAATCTCCCTTAGATGATTCCAGTGTCTGTCCGTTGATTTCTATTCCGACTCTGTTTCATATTTTTCAGACTTCTAAATGTATTTTTGAATTAAAATTAAATTTCTTATTTGAGTCATTAATTATTTAATTTTTCTCTTACTATCAATTGGTCTAATTATTTTTATACCAACAATAATAATTATTTGACAAAATATATCAAAAAATAATCAATTAATTTTTGAAAAAATGATCAGGAAACAGAAATAAGTCTTCCTATCGTCGAATACAACAAGTGAGCTTTTTCTTTTCTCCACTTTATGTATAACTTTTTAAGATTTTAGAAAGTAATACTACAGTTTAATCACTAAGTCAATAATAATGACAAAAATAATAATAATAATAATTAAAGAGGTACCCAAACACAAAAATACAAAATCCTTATTCATCCCCAAACACCTACTTCAAGCTACAACTCATAAGAATCCTAAAGAACAGTCCATAAAATGTCCACAAAGATACAATTTTCAACAATATTAAATAAAATTCTCATCATACATCAATTTAATTCCTTAAAAATAAGATCACAGGCATTATATTAAACACTTGTTATACAATATCATGCTAGTCTCTAACAAGCAAATCTGCAACTCCACTAGCTCTTCAAATGATCAATGGAACCTACAATATGGTAGGGTGAGACACAAGGTCCCAGTAGGAATAAACTCTAACAAAAGTTTCTAAGGAAATTCCAGAATAGGACATAGCCATGAAGAACATGCTTTTCAAGTATAGGAGTTATATGCAGCTCAATTGCACATAAGAATGAAGCAACAACATTCAAATAGATTAGGCACACTGCTTTTAACAACAACAATCATTTTTGGCTCAATTTCTACAAATTAGCGAGAGATCAGTTTTCTGTATATATATATATATATAAATAATATATATCATGAAACTTATATACTCCCTCCGTCCTAAAAAAAAAAGTGTCATGCTTTCCTTTTTTGTTTGTCCCAAAATAATTGTTCACTTTCCTTTTTCAAACAATATATTTCACATCTTTCCATATATGTCCTTGGAGTTTAAAATTTCAAACTTGAATATTCAAAATTTAAATGGCAAATTAGTAACTTTTCAGGGAGACAATGCATGTCTCACGTGTCCCCTTAAAAATTACTACTCTCCAAAACCGACACTTAAATTGGGATGGAGGGAGTAATAAAAAGTACACATAAAGAATCATGCTATCTTCATATAAATTCCTATGATTTAAAATTTTGTACCAAATGTACACATAAACAATCATTTGTTTTTATAAAAACTCTAAAGTATTACGAGGCTCGATGGGCGGGAGTAGGTCTGTGAGAGACAATGATCTGATGCGAGCCATGTGTACTTACAAGTCCCACATCGCATGAGTGTGAAAGAGTGAAGTGATATAAGTAGGTTCAACATTCTTTTATGACACAACGCATTTTAAAGCCGTGATAGAGATTAACTCATCAGAATTCCGTAGTTGGTGGGCTTGACCTAGCCGGAAGTGTGCCGATGGGGACGTCGGACACCCAAGGTGGTGGAATTGTGAGGCTCGGTGGGCGGAAGCAGGCCTGTGAGAGGCAAGGCTCTGGTGTGAGTTACATGTGCTCACAAGTCTCACATCGCCCATGTGTGAAAGAGTGAATGTGCTATATAATCAATGTTCTTAAGAACATTTTAAGTATTTTAATCTTCAAATTAAAAGATTGTGCGTATTTATTCAATTGGAAAAAAGGAAAATGATACATATCATGAATTCATTTTCATGATATGCATCTTGAACTTCAAGACACTATAAACTTTATTTCTTAACCACTCCTCTTGTCTTTTTCTCCCTTTTTGTTTTTTTTATTGTTTCCATCATACAGAAATTATAATTTTCTCTTTTTCTTCTTTGGCTGATACAGAAATTTTTTAAAATTATAAATTTTCTATGTTCATCTTCTTTCCCTCGTCACAATCTCTCCCAAATCCAAACTTCAACACCAAAGTTCTCACCTAAATTCAATTGTTTGAAGATGATTATCCCAAAGTAATAACAATAAAAATAAGATCTATTCTCTATAATATATGCTACATCCAAATTTGGCTAATGTAGAACGAAATAAAAAACTCCTAAATTAAACTTATTAGATTTTTCTATGTAATTTTTTTATTTATTATTTTGGTATAATATGCCTCTCTGTGTTATGGACATGATCTCCATAGTTTGACATTTTGCCCACAACCACCACCTAAGAACAATCTTTAATGGTGGTGTATCAAATTTATGGCAAATCTGACAAAGTATATATAGCATGTAGTTCTGTTTTATTACTATCTATATATATATATATATATATATATATATATATATTATGAGAGAAGGAGCTACATCATCATTCATGATACACATCTCGAATTTCTTTCAAGGTGTGTATCACTGCTCTTGGAAAAATGCAAGGAGTTTTTTCTTTTTTTACTTTTTTTAACTCCAGGATACTTATGTACATTGCGTATATAACAGAAATTTTTTTATATCGGTAATGTGGATCTCTCTAAAGCATGCCCATAATCTACTTTACTCTCAGTTCAATGTGCACCATCTAATAAAGGACAAAGTATACAATAATCTACTTTACTCTCGGTAATGATTTTTAGGCCGACAAGTTTTGATTGGTCATGTGTGCAAAATACTCCATATAAGAAAGTGGGACCCCCACTTCCTTATATTTGATAAAGATAGCCGATAAAAAAAAATAGGTCAAACAATTCACTTGAACACTTCCGTCCAAGAATCACTATGGGTCCAAACACAAGAAAGATATATTTTATTAATGAATTTCTTTATTTTTTATTTTTCAATGTTTGGTATATAAGATTCATATAGGCGTTACCTTAATAATCAAGTCAGCAGCTACTACTTGAAATTGGTATGAACTTCCTTGAGATCTCTAGAAACACAGGATGTTCAATCACCAGGCTTTCCAAAATTAGGAGTAAATATCTGCACTATTGCTTCGAGGGCAGATATATCCCAACTCTCAGCATGCCTAACAATCTGTTGAACAAAGTATTAGCAATCATCCGTAAATGAGTTAAGGCGCTCTAACATTATGTTGGAGAATAAATGTCACAGAGAAAAAATGTTTCACTTACTTTAAATTTGTTGTCTAAATCATACACCGTACTTCCATCAACAGAAATGAAAGGCCTCCATGGAAGTTTGAGATAGGTCCTGTTTAGATAGAACCAAGAACAGGTGTAAACTACAATCCCTCTACAGCTGGTGATAAGCAAGAATATTACAAACTTAATATTAACAAATGGAAAGCCTTTTAGTGGTTCTATTAGCTTTCAAAAGTTAAATAAAATCATGTCCAGGGAAGTAGGGAAATTAGCAGCTAGCAAAGTCCAGTAATTAAATGTTTGAAGTTGTTACTTTATAGATGAATCTATTAAGCGCATAATTTGAGGGTTGGGACATGATTTTCTTTGGTAGAATGGTCTGCTAGTAACATCTCCATGGCCTCCAGGCATGAGGCTACACTAAAACACTGAACACCATTTCAGGTGCTAAATGGATGTTCACTGATGCAATACTAAACCTCTAGCATATCTTGTGCACCAACGAACTGCTTGCAAGGCCTAGGTCATATCATTAAGAAGTACTCAACGAAAACATAGGAACCTTTACCGTCCACTGTCATTCATTGGGTGGTATTAACATTAATTTATCAAAAAGTGGCACTGGTTCTCACATGAAGCAATAACCATGTATAATTGATGTAAATCGTAAATTTTTAAAAGTGAGAGAGAAAAAAAAAAAAAAACAAAACAAAAACAACTAGACCAAGTTAGGACCTTAGTTTCCACTTTGCGAATACAAAATTTGTTTCTGAATCAATACCCTGCATAAAAAGTCACAATATTAGGCATTAGTAACATGTATTGATTCTGTTCATAGCTAATAACGGTTTTCTTAATTAATATAAAGTACAGGTGCACAAGCTCACAAAAACAACATAAAAGGAAAAGAGCCTACTCTATACATCCTATAAAATAAATTTGTTCATTAAAAAAAGGAAAGAATAGATTCCCTTTCGTATCTTCTTCAAAAGTTTCAGGTTCTTTAGTAGCTTAAGGCAAAGCATGACAAATTCTTAGCCAATGCTATGTTAGCCGCTTTCAGGTTAGCAAGCATAGTAATATTTGGAACAAGAATACGGATGAACCCACCATCCCATTGTAGCAATCTATTTCTAAAGGATCACTTGTTCTTAAGTTCTTCCTACTTTTCCTAAAATAAGAAAGCAAACTATTAATATGATGGTTAAAGAAGGACACTGCCCAGTGCATGTCCTGCCTACACAGAGTATTGGGACGGGAAGAGCGGAGATGGACCTAACCTTTTAGTAATTTTTTCACAAAGTGACTGCTTTCATACTCACTCACTCATCCTCGCTTCTGTCAGCCCGAGATTTACCATTGCACCAACATTTAACCATTACACCAAACAATGATCTCTACTGTAAATAGATGACTAAGATCATATGATGTTGTCGATTACTACATATACACTTCTTCATGTGTAAATTGAGGGAACTTGTCCTAAATTTGATAAGATGGTTCCTTCACTTGAAGGATAGGAAATTGATGAATTTGATTCTTTTCTGAAGAGTTGTTACTTATGCTCTCAATTTCACGTCAGTCACCTAACGCTATATATTTATTCACTCACGAAAACCCTTAGGCCTAAATAGGAAGTGAAAAAAATTGTTTTTTACCATCTTTAGTCACCAACAAGAATTAATACTATAAGAATTATTCTTATTATGACACATACATATACACATGTAAGAAGATATAAGAAAAAGGAAGTAATGTCGCTTTATTTCTAAAGTTCTTAGCTACACTTTTCCAAGTTCATTCTTGAAACAAGAGTAGTTTGTCCATTAAAACACAATCAAATTGTTTACTGAATCATCATCAAATCAAAAACCAAGCACCAAAATAACCATCATCAGCAGCTTAGTTTCATTACCTATGATCATAAGTTCTAAAGTTCTCAAGTATTAGTATCTTGTCTGCCTATAAATAAACATCATCATCAGCTCAGTTTCATTACCTATGATCATCAGTTTTATTATTGTCTTCACGGTCATCCAAAAAAATGAAGTTTTTCTCTAATTTCAATGTACAAATAATAGTTCAATAGCTTTTATCCAAAATCAGTTCAGTCAAGAACAGCAAATTCCTCAGCAATGCACTTGTTTACCAAAATTACTCAAGTTAAGGACTTTTTTTTCCAGCTAATAGTCCTGCAAGATCATGTGTATAACTTAAACTACATTGATAATGAAATTATTCCAGAATATAACATGAAAATATTCATTCTAGTGCACCTTTCTCAAATAATCAAGCTGTTATTTACAAACTTTCTAGTTTCAACCATTTGTCCATTCAGTCTGGTCTGCTTATTTGTGGGAATCAACTCAATGCATGCCTTTTTGTTTAAGTACTTGAATTTCAAACACTTGGAAATTGCAACCATCACAGTAAATTAAAGAAAAACATTAATAGGCTATTGCCAGTATTGGTCCTCATTAATGAACGGCGTCGAAAAACAACAATTGTTCATTGACATTTATTTGCATGAAGTGACAACAGAATCTGTTTTTTTATCACTTGACAGCTAGATCAATATCAGTACACCAAGCAAGGCCCTCTATGCAACTACAATATATTCAAACTGCACAATCCATTTACTTATGCATGTAGAAAAACATTAGAATTGTTTTTTACAATCATTTAGTGTATATCGTTTAAGTAATAATTGGGGTCAGGAAATGGGAAATTGCTAAAGACATGGATACTAAAAGTCTACAACTACAACTACAACATCAATCAATTTTCTCTTCACAATTCTATGGTTTCATTTCATAATACAAAAATTCAACAGGGCACTTCTTGCAATATTGTGTGATGGAACCTGATGTATTAAAGTGCATTTATATTATAATTTCCATTTTCATGTGTATTTTTATAGCAAACTTCTGGAATTACTATTATAATGTAGGAATTGAAAGTTAAGATTGGCTGGTTTGGATTGTAAAGTTGTCGTATTGACATAAAATTCAGCTGGTTTGGATTGTAGGGCTTGAAGTAAGTGGAATGAAAGTTATATTTCCATGTCCCCCAATAAGAAATAGCACAGGTTCTGTCTACATGGTGTGCTGAAAGGAAAAGAGTAAAATAGACCTAACTTTTAATACTATTTTGCACAAAGTGGTTGCATTCCATACTCAATTCAACTCAACAAAGCCTTTTCCCAAATATTTGGAGTTGGATAAATGAATCTTATTTTTCCATTCCACTCTATTTAAGATCATAGCCTCAATCAAACCACATAATATAAAATATTTCCTTACAAACTCTACTCATGTTAATTTTGGTATCCCCCTTCCCCTACCATTACACTCAATATGACCATATCACTTTTCCCAACTACACTTGGAGGTCTTTTTGCAGATGTCCAAACCATCTTAATCAATTTTCTCCCATTTTATCGTGTTAGTCCGACCAACTAAAGAATGTGTTCATTTCTAATTCTCTCTCTCTCTCTCTCTCTCTCTCTCTCTCTCTCTCTATATATATATATATATATATATATATTTTTTTTTTGGTCTTGCCACTTATCCATTTCACAAACATGGCTGCATTCCATAACCCCAAAATTTTATTACACAATTGAACCGAATTTGACTCGGATTGAAGATTAGGTTGGTTTGTGCCTAGGCATAGCTCAGATCAAACCTCAATTTACCAAACTGAACAGCACCCTCAAAAAATATCTAGCAATTTACCAGCCTATTTTTACTATGTGATATTTTAAAGTTGTTGAAGGATTTATATATTTAAGTTACATCATCCTCTCTAACAGCTTAAGCTTTTGGAGTAGATAGTTGTTAACATGGTATCAAACCAGGTAAGGTCCTGTGTTCAAACCTCACCGTTACCCTAATAATTAAAATTGAAGCACGTGTTGGACCAAAAGAAGGCCACATGTGAGGGGGTGTGTTGAAGAATTTAAAGTTACACCCTCTATAACAGCTTAAGCTTTTAAAGTAGATGGTTGGTATCAGGTAGTTTGTTTTCCCATGAGTAATCAACCCACATACCACCTACAACTTGAACCTTGCACCTTCACCTTTCGAGGTAACAGGGAATACCACACAATCTTATAGCTGGTAGTCAAGGTATTGGGGAAATATTTAGAAACTTCAAAGCAGAAAGATTTCTGTTGTTACTCCAAACCAACTGGTTAATGTTGTGCCATTAAAGCAGCAATTTTGGATCCCATAAAAGGCCCTAAAAGAAGCTTTTACTATGGGGTATTATGATTGTTTAATCAAAGCCTCAAAGGTGATTCTTAAAATGTGTCACAAGGTGACTGAAAACATGAAAACTATGGCCAAAGGCCAACGCCAATTTTTGGAGGGAAATCTAGTTCTATTTACTTCACTCTAATATAACAATTAAAGACCAACAGGTTGTTTGAATGTTGGAACCTAATGTACTTTTCTCTTGGGTTTTTTTACCGCTTTTCTTTCCTTTTTAAATTCTAGCTCCTAATAAATGCAAAGTACCTCAACACAACAAAAATTGACTACTATTAACTATATCTCCAGTTGCAGTCAAAGTAAATTGCTATCAATTGTCTCCGAAAATACTTCAATATCAATACATAAAGTACACCATCAAAAAGTAACTGGAAACATGAATGGTGTACTTTGCTAGTATAGCTCAATAGAACATCATTCTTTCACCCTACAAGAAATTTTAGTGTTTACAACATAAAAATATTTAGAGTAATTTCACTTGCTGCTCACCTCTACAAACTCCTCACTCCTACCCGTTCCACATGAACTCTCCTTGAAAGATAAATACCTCACATATTTCCAATATGGCATAGCATTTTAAAGACGAGAAAAAAAACAATTTAGGCCAAAAGTATATCCATACTCATCTTATTTCATTATGAATAGAAGTAAACAATCAAAAAATATGCCGATGCTTCTAATAGAATGAACAAGGCACGGAATGAGCAGTAAGGCATCATTATATGTAATCATTAAGATTTGTAGCATGGCACTTACTACTTCCCACCCCAAAAAGGAAAAAAAGAAAAGGAAAAGGAGGAAAAAAAAATATTGAAGGCCTTTATAGGTGTTTTTGCACAGATAATCATACAGTGGAATGGTAAGATTTAGACATAGGGTTATGATTTTATGGATCCAGATACTGAGCAATTTGATGCCATCGGCATATACCTTTAAAACCGAAAGGTAAATTCTGTTAGATCAAACATACTCAAGAAGATGAAACGCTGGCAACTAAGAAATAACATATCCACAAAACGAGTGTCACAGAATTGGGAATGTTGACATGGATGTATGGCGAGGCAATAAAAAGATAAAATTAGAAATAAACATATTCGTGAGTTGTTAAAGTAGTACCTATTAGAGATAAAATTAGAGAAAACTAAATTAAATGATATGGCCATGACTAGTGATGGCCAACAATTGCACCGCTTAGGAAAAGTGACTTGGTCCTTATTGAGCTTAATGGTAGGGAAGGAGAAAATCAAATTAAAATGGAATGAGATAGTTATAAGAGATATGCTAGCAAGCAGAGAATAAGGTTTATCTAAGGCCATGATGTTAGAGCGAAAGGACGGTTCGTGTTTGTCCCAGACAGTTGGGAAAAGACTTGAGTTGATATCTACACAATGCATAAACTGTCATGTTCTTGATGTATTCATATATTATTTTAAAGAATTTGTCATTTCAGTATGCCTGTACCATGTTGTATCCATATCCCATTTCTATAATAGAATAATTCAAATAAGAATGAAAGGTAATGCAATATAGCTTATTTGGCAGGTGAACAAGATCCAACGAATGATTTGTATTTTTTTTTTTTTTTCGTCGTTAGAAAAAATTTAACCTGCAATGTTGTGAAATGCCAAGAATTTTGCAAGTCATGCAATAATAACTTGTTTGTTGATCATTTTGGTGATGCACAATATTTGTGTCTTATTATGACTTAACATCTCTGTTTTATCCTATTTGTATTTTTTGATGATGGTGACGGATAATTTGGTTCTGTAATTACGGACATTACTGTCCTTGTTTTATGCTACATGAAATATTTTGTTTGAAGACTTTTACTATTACTTTTAATTATAATTGTACAGGTTAAAATATATCTGAGTAACAAATAAATATTACAACTTTTTTTTCGCTTGACAAGAAACTTACACACCCAAATGCCCCTATTACCTTTTTTTATTATTATTATTGGCATTCTATTCCATAAAAAATATATATTAAAAAACACCCACTGAAGCTAAATTTATCCATTGCATGTGAACTAAGGTGATAAAAAGATTTCAAGAACAGAAACCACTAGGACACTCCCCATTAATAGCAATGGCTGTTCTGGAATGAAAGCACAAATAACAAGGCATAGCCTGTTCTGTCCCACTCAGTTTTTGACTTTTTTCACTGCAAACTTTCCAAAGAAGTATTACAGGAATTCATGATAAATATACTCCTTTGTCTTGACAAGAGGACGGCTAAAGATCACATTTGTCAATCTTGCACATTTAACAACAATCCAGTTACGAGTTATGTGTATATGCAAATTTTTAAAACAACCAAGTTAGGATTGCGTGGATAAGACAAGCTATTTGTGCGTATAAAATCGAAATGCAATTTCTTAGAGAATGAATACCTTCTCAATCTTTTGTAACACAATTGATGGACAGTCAAAGAAAGGTACAAGCAATTTCAAGTTGCGTGAATACAAGTCTTTACCTGAATGACCAAAGAAAACGAAATTAATCAAATGCTCTCATATTTCTTGTTTGAAAATGGAATTCTTCATTTAATGTCCCTTTGTGCCACAAATTAGGCATGGAAACTCAACATATTTGGTGCATTGCAAATTGAAACCGGTTACTTTTGAGTTCCAAAAAAGTGATATTCGAATGATTGCATGTAGGCAGTAGCAGACATTTTTAGCACAGTCAGTAGCACACAAATTTCCAGAAACAGAGATATCCAGTCTTTCTTTTTTGTCTTGACTAAAGAGTAATTCCATTCATACCTTGGACATAAAAATAATACGCCATACAAGCTATGAGTGGTAGGTGATCTGACCATACATCAACCCGAACTCATAGGACAAATGTAAATTAGCAAAAATAATGCATAGTTGTCTAAGAAAACCATGAATAAGTTATCAGGAAATACAAAAATGACTCTCAAATTATTGATTTTGACACAATGAAGTCATGTTAAATGATAGAAGGACCAAGATAATATATAAAAGGATAATGATTTCAATCTGATGTAATTTTTTCAATTATGGGTACTTTTCTTCTAAAAACAGAACAATTTAAAATCGCAGTGATCCAGAGTGGCATAAGTTAGTGTATAGATAGAGTTAAAAAAATTATACTTTCATATAATAATTGCTAATCTTAATCATAATTGTGAAACTGTTATCATCAATTAACTATAAATTACTAAGCATGTTTCAAGCACAATACTCATATTGTGTATATCTTCATTATTAGTAACTCAACAACAAATCTTATCACCTTAAATCTCAACGCTGATGTTGACTGACACTCTTCAACAATTTGCTACCTTCACACATATATTCAGCTCACATGACCCCTTTGCCATCTGGTTCAAACTTAGAAAACCATTTTACAAAGACTTGACAACTGAAATAGAAACTAAATGGACCTCACAAAAAGGTGGATCACATAGATCCCAACACGTCGAACTAAAAGGTGGTTTATGTAAACTTAAAAACAGATATTAGTTCTACTGTTGACTATTAACATCTTATCTTTTTTTCTTCTCGTATTGTTCTTTCCTTTCACAGGAATATAAAAACCATAAAACTACAATTTATGAAATTGTGAAGCAACTCACCAGCAAAGAAAGAACCAATTTGGGATGGCAGAAATGATTCTTGGAAATATTTAAAATCAAGGAAATTGGAGAGTAGTTAAAAATCAAGAAAAAATATAAATCTGAAAAAATGATTTTTTTAAAGATATCCTCGAGTTCTCCACCAAATAATAGAATCATAACTAAGAATTCAGGAATCTCTACAGTCAGCAACTAGTAATAAATCATGAGCATCACATTGTTAGAATATACATATTAGGGCTTATGGAATTAGTTTACCCCTCAGGGGTATATTAGTCTTTTCCTTGTTCCCTCTAGTCATGTATATAAATAAAGGCATTAGGGTGTGGAGATGTAGGAAACCGAAAACTTCTCTCTCACTCAATTCTCCAAATCTCTTCTTCCTCCATCTAGCCCTAATTTCAGATCCTACTTTCAACACACAAACAACAAAGTAAAGTACCATATTATTCAGCATCAAGTTCTAAAATGCTAAATGCAACGAGAAAACATAATTTTTCTTACCACGGAATTTAATAGTTGGATCCTCGAAAATACAATCTTCTGTATAGATTGCAGAAGTAAAAATTCCTAATGCAATGAAAAAAAATGTTGTCACAGATTACTTGGTTACATTTCTTAAATACTGTTTATCTTAAATGATAAATTAAAAAATGAAGAAGGCACCTGTAACGAAATAAGCATTCTCATAATCTGACTTGAGGATCATTAGAACATCATCAACGGCAGAAACTGAAATGTCATCTCTCTGTTCGTAACTCACTGCATCAGATCTGCAAAACGTTATCAATGAAAAAGATTACAAAGAAATACATGAAAATTGACATTTTAGGTGGCTTGTACATATCAAGGGTGATCTTGAAGCAACTTCAGCAAAGGATGTATGACAAATCAATAATGGCTCAACAAGAGCGCATAACTCTTGCAATTAATTTCTCCAACACTTGCCTCTACAAATAATGGCTCAACAAATTAATATACTATTATGCTTGTTAGTAAATTTGAGTTTAGTGTGAATAAATTCCTTCACAAAACATGGTTGTATATTTAATAAAATATCTACAAAAGAGTCATTATGAGTCTTCTTATCGAGGAAGCCCAATAGCAAAAAGTGACGAGTGAATAATGAAGATGGAGTTGCATTAGCAACAACTTGAAGGCTTCATTAATCTGAATCCACACAAAGTGAAGGTAAGTAAGACCCTAGTAGACCTAGGAATCTAGGGAGAAAATATTTAATACCCCGGGGCTATGGTAGCCCTTGGATGTGGTAAGGCCCACCACCACATCCATGATCTAAAGGTTCCCACTGTGCCGGGGTACCATACCCCCCCGGGGTATTTAATACTTTCACGAATCTAGGGTTCGTTAAACTCATTGAATAGCATGACTATTCCATAAACTAGATATTTTTTACATAAAAATTTGTTTTTAAGATATTCAAAAAAAATTGAAAATGGAGAAAGTAATTTAAAAATATAGCCTTTATAGCCTAATGGTGCTTTCTCACCTTCTAAAATAGAAGATCGAAGGTTCAAGTCCCCCTGGGGCATGTTGGTGTGTGCTAACCACTCATCAGTAGGTTTGTTTCGAAAATTTAAGAAAACAAGGCACTAACCAATTAAGAATGATTGGGGAATGGAATGAGTGGGTTAGGGTTTATTTGCTTGATCAGAGAATAAACAAAAATCATACAATCGCATGAACAAGTTAAAAATTTTGTTATCATGATTTAAACCAATTAAACTAATTCGGGAGAGAGACTAAAATGAAAAATGTTCTTGATCACTTAGATCAGAAAATCACATAAATTTTTGAGAAATCATTCAACAATTCGTTGCTATGTGCTAAACAAATTATTATAGAATTGCGATTTCCATAATGAACAAGAAGTAAACAACTGTTACATATATACAAATAATAAAGATTGACACTAATAATACATATATGCATATATATATAGAGAGAGAGGGAGAGAGAGCGACCTGTGTTTGGGGGAGGATAGAAAGCGTAGAAGCTCTGTAACTCCGCTAACTGCGAATTTCAACAGGTGTGGCGATGGCCTTTCTTTCTTCTTGTGGTTATTCGGCGCAACGGAGCAGCATCGGAAGCCATGAACAGCTCTCTACAGTGAGTAGTATTTCAACAATACAATCAATTTCTGAGAGGAGTTGAATCAAGAACGGTCTATCTATCTTGCGAATTCTTACCCTGCATTGTAGGGTTGGAGATGGTGGCACATAGCAGCAGATTGCCGCCATTTTTGTCGATCTCTCCCCTCGCTTTGTTCAAATTTTCTCCTCCTCAAATCTTATTAAAAGCTATGTAGTACCAATATTGAGAACACAGCTTTTATATGAGATAAAAAATTTGTATCAAAATTCATTTATTACAGTTTTTTCATTATCCATTCCGTCAAATTAAACTATTATTTTGACAATAGTATTTTATTTTTTTATTATTTTTAAGTATTTTGAGTTAGATTTTTCTAAAAGTGAAATCATTTATATTGATTAAGTGGTGTAACTTGTGCACTTTTTTTCTTTTATTTATTTATTTTCTTTTATTATTTTGAATTTTTCGTTATCTCAGTTTGACCATTTGCCTGCGGATGGCTGACCGCTGTCAACTTTTGATTGATTCCATACTCTTCTAGTAACTCCCTCACTTGCTTGTTGTCGAGATTAGTCCCATTGTCCATAATGGTCGACCTTGGTACGCCAAAGCGACAAATAATATTACTCTAGATGAAACGTCTTACTTGAGTTTGGGTCACACTAGGATTTGGCTTTGCCTCCACCCATTTGGTAAAGTAATCTGTCGCTAGCAGAACTTATTTGTTCTGTAACCTCGCGGTCGGCAAAGGGCCAACCATATCCATCCCCCATTGGATGAAAAGTCATAGTTTGGCCATTACGTGCAAGTCCTCAGGTGATTGGTGGATCAGTAGTCCGAACCTTTGGCACTTATCGCATCTTCTAGAGAATTATTCTGCATCTCGCGACATGTTCGGCCAAAAATATCCTTGTGTTATCGCTTTATGCGCTAGAGATCTTCTTCCTGAATGATTGCCACACACCTCTCATGGATGGTTCGCAAGATCTGTCTAGCTTCTGTGGGGATAACACATTTCAAGTACGGACCCGAGAAAGACCGTCTGTACAACTGATTGTGCACAATAGCATACTTTGCAGCGTTTGACCTGATTTTCCATGCCTCATCTTTCTGCTCGGGCAACACACCAATTCGTATGAAAGTCATGATTGGTTAAATCCAGCTCAGCTTATATGGTATGACATTAACTTGCTGAGGGTCCAAACCAGACGGTTCCTCAAAAATAGATGGCTGAGATAACACATCAACCGGTATAACCTTAGCCAATGTTTATCCAGAACCTGATGCACTATAAGCCAATCGATCGGCATCCTCATTGTATTCCCTCGGCAATTGGATGAATTTAATCTGATCGAAATCTTTTGCTTCGTGCAGAACAACAGATCGGTATGCCTCCATTGTCTTGTCTTTGGTTCCATATTCCCCCGTCACCTGCCGAATGATCAGCTGTGAATCGCTAAAAGCAACTAGACTTCTGACTTTCAACTCTTTAGCCAGCTTCAGCCCAGCTAGCAATGCTTCGTACTCAGCCTCATTATTGGTTGCCCTGAACTCAAGTCTAACCGCTTGACTCAGCATGGCGCCCTCTGGCGTTTGCATTTTGATCCTAATTCCTGCCCCCATTTGATTTGAAGAGCCATCAATAAATAGCTTCCATGAAGAACCTCCAAGATCTTCTTCCATGTCTTCCGCATCGCACTCAAGCAGGAAATCAGTCACCGCTTGTCCTTTGATGAACGTTCTGGGTTCATACGTTATGTCAAATGAGCTCAACTCTATGGCCTACTTTGTCATTCTTCCTGACAGGTCTGGCTTGTACAGGATCATCCTTATAGGAAAAGTGGTCAGAACGACTATAGGATGGGATTCAAAATAATGCCCGAGTTTTCTTTTTGCATTTACCAATGACAGGATCACTTGTTCGGCCTTTGAATACCTTCTCTTCGGTTCGGCCATTGTTTTGTTAACATAGAACACTGGGAACTGTTTTCCTTCATCACATCGCACCAGAACGGCATTCGTTGCAATGCTGGACACACCAAGGTACATAAAGAGCTTTTCACCTGGCTCGGGAGCAATAATGTGATAACCCGATTTTTTTAGATTTTTAATTATTATTATTATTATTATTATTTTAGTTGGTGTTAGAGGACGTGTAGTTGTTGTCATTTGTATCATTTGATGGAATGAAAAGGTGGCAGCAAGGCACAGTGAGTCGAAGTGATGAGAAATGAAAAAAATAAGGAAAAATTGTTTTTGGCGGGTCCCATCTGTCATGGGTTTTGATTTTTGTCATATGTTCATGTATATATATATAATGCATGATGGTGATAAGAAGTAAAGGGGAGCAGAATCAGCCGAAAATAGGAAAGGAAATAGTGATGTGATGATGGTAATTTCGCGGGACCCACGGGTAGAAATTAGTGGCCAAGGGTTCTTTTTTTTTTTTTTTTTTTGGCTGCACGTGGTGTTATTTTGGGTGAGATTAGTGTATGTCAAATGATGGAAGAAGATAAAGGAAAAAACAAAGATAAGGAAAGAGATGGTGACGGGACCCAATAGATATCTGGCTCAAATGAGATTCTATTGACTGGCAACAAATTGTGGAGGCGTGTGGGTGACGTTTTCTTGATATTTTGTATTGTGTCATGGTTTTGCCTATAAATTAGGCTTGTGACTTTGGTGCAAAGGCAAACAGAAAGAGAGATTTTAGAGAGAGACGAGAGTTGCAGAGGAGTTTGGGAGCTTGAAGCTTGGTGATCCAGTGAGAAATTCTTTTTCAGTGTAGGGTTCTCTATACCTTGAATGGCTTGGAGTGGTTTGCTACAATGGTTTTGATTAAATGTTTTAATTAAATGCATATGTTTTTTGCTTATATACTCACATGACTATGTATATTTTGTGAAGATGTTTTATTAAACCTCCATGAAATTTTTGTTATGATTTTTCCTACTGGGACTTTCCGTCTCACCACCCTCCAGTTTCAGGTACCGAAGATGAACGGGGATTGCTAGGTTCGGGCTTAGGCTGAAGAGTTGGCGTTATAGGATTTAATTTATTTATTTGGAGAATTTTTTTGTGTATATTTGAGGAAATTGATTTTATATAAAAAGAGGGCATATTTTTTTATGATCCTGGGTGTATTTTGATTTATTTGTATTTGTATAAATTGAGAATTTTATTAGAAAATTTGGGGCGTGACAAAATGGTATCAAAGCATGTACCCAGCCGGAAGTGTGAGTATAGTGATGATGTAAACAGGTATGAGTGGGCGAGTGTGTAGTACTAGTGAGCTACCACTTATAGCCGGATGTGTGTGGGCGGATGGCGTTCACTGGCATGGTTAGTGTGGTTGGGCAGGTAGCCCAGGTTTGTTATTGTTTGTGGTTTTTTAGTGGGCGGATGACGCATTGACTAGCTACCACAACGGTTACGGAGTGTGTAGGCGGGTGACTAGCACTAACAGTTACCACAACGTCCTACATATCATGGTATCTCACACTGCCTGGGGTAAGGATTTGGATTTTGGTTTTGTGGTTGTTGGTGTTTTCGGGTATACGAAGACTGTTGGATCTGAATTTCGGGGATGAAATTCTTTTTGAGTAGTGGAGATTGTGATAACCTGATTTTTTTAGATTTTTAATTTATTATTATTATTATTATTTTAGTTGGTGTTAAAGGAGGTGTAGTTGTTGTCATTTATATATATATATATATATATATATATATATATATCATTTGATGGAATGAAAATGTGGCAGCAAGGCACAGTGAGCCGAAGTGATGAGAAATGAAAGAAATAAGGAAAAATTGTTTTTGTCGGGTCCCATCTGTCATGGGTTTTGATTTTTGTCATATGTTTATGTGTGTGTGTGTATATATATATATATATATTTAATGCATGATGGTGATAAGAAGTGAAGGGGAGTAGGTTCAGCCGAAAGTGGGAAAGGAAATGGTGATGTGATGATGGTAATTTCGCGAGACCCACGGGTAGAAATTAATGGCCAAGGGTTGTGTTATTTTGGGTGAGATTAGTGTATGTCAGATGATGGAAGAAGATAAAGGAAAAAACAAAGATAAGGAAAGAGATGGTGGCGGGACCCAATAGATATTTGGCTCAAATGAGATTCTATTGACTGGCAACAAATTGTGGAGATGTGTGGGTGACGTTTTCTTGATATTTTGTATTGTGTCGTGGTTTTGCCTATAAATTAGGCTTGTGACTTTAGTGTAAAGGCAAATAGAAAGAGAGATTTTAGAGAGAGACGAGAGTTGCAGAGGAGTTTGGGAGCTTGAAGCTTGGTGATCCAGTGAGAAAATTCTTTTTCAGTGTAGGGTTCTCTAAACCTTGAATGGCTTGGAGTGGTTTGCTTCAATGGTTTTGATTAAATGTTTTAATTAAATGCATATGTATTTTGCTTATATACTCACATGACTATGTATATTTTGTGAAACTGTTTTATTAAACCTCCATGAAATCTTGTTATGGTTTTTCTTACTGGCACTTTCTGTCTCACCACCCTTCAGTTTCAGGTACCGAAGATGAATGGGATTGCTAAATTCGGGCTTAGGCTGAAGAGTTGGCATTGTAGGATTTAATTTATTTATTTAGAGATTTTTTTTTTTTTTTGTGTATATTTGAGGAAATTGATTTTGTATAAAATAGGGCATATTTTTTTATGATCATGGGTGTATTTTAATGTATTTGTATTTGTATAAATTGAGGATTTTATTAGAAAATTCGGGGTGTGACAGATAAGACTGGAGGGTTCCGCATATATTCTTTCAAGCTGGTCAATGCCTTTCGTTACTCATCCCCCAGACCTGCTTTCCATGGCCTCTGATTGTATCGAAGAACGGTTTACAGCGGTCTGACAGCTTAGAAATGAATCTACTCAGTGCGGCTATCCGACCCGTGAGTGCTTGCACTTCTTTGATCGTTCTTGGTTCTGCATTTTTTATCAGAGCTTCTGCTTGAGCTGGGCTAGCTTTAATTCCTCTATTATTGACCACGTATCCCAAGAACTGCCCAGAACTTACGTCGAACGAGCACTTGGTTGGATTAAGCTTCATTCCATACCTCCTCAACACCCCGAATACATCTTGCAAGTGTTCCAGGTGTTCGGCCGCCTTCTTATTCTTTACTACCATGTCATCAATATAGGCTTCTACAGTCTTCCCCATTTGATCTTTGAAAATCTTGCTGACCAGCCTTTGATAAGTAGCTCCAGCATTCTTTAGTCCGAACGGCATGACTCTGTAACAGTAGATTCCTCGTTCGGTGACAAAAGAAGTTTTCTCTTCATCATTCGTGTCTATAGGGATTTGATTGTAACCTGAGAAAGCATCCAGGAAGGTTAACCGTTCGTAGCCAGTAGTGGCATCTACTATTTAATTAATCTTTGGCAATGGAAAGCTATCATTCGGGCATGCTTTGTTCATATTTGTGAAGTCAATACATACTCTCCATTTCCCATTCTTCTTCTACACAACAACCACATTTGAGAGCTAAATTGGGTACTGAACTTCCCCGATGAATCCTGCGTCTAGCAATCGACCAATCTCATTAGTTATGATTTGATTGCGCTTTGGGGCGAACCTCCTCTGCTTCTGTCTTACGGACTTGATGTTCGGATCCACATTGAGGGAATGACAAGACACGAAGGGGCTAATTTCTGGCATGTCTGAATGGTTCCAAACAAACACATCTGCGTTCTTACACATCTGCGTTCTGAGACAAGAAATCAATTAGCTGTTGTTTCTCCCCCTCTGCAAGCCCTAACCTGTAATACCCCTAATTTTAAAAGGACAGTCTCGGTATTTTAATTATTGTTTTCTTGCATTTTGTGTGCCTATTTGTTTATTTGATTAAGTGTTTAATTGTTTTACTTCTTTAATTGATTTAGTTGTGATTTAGTTGTTTAATTATGGAAGTTAAATTTCATTAATTGATGAATTATTTTATTTAAATGAATTGTTTTAATTTAATGGAATTGTTTATTTAATTGACTTATTTGAATTAACTGTAATAATTTAATTATTTGTCTATTTTATATGCTTAGGTGGATATTTAATTATTTGTTTTATTTATTGTTTTAAGTTAGGGTTTTACTCTTTTGTATCACGTTTTGGTTTTGGGCCGGCTAGGATTTAATTAGGTTTACAGTCTAGGGTTTTAATTAGACTTAGATTTGGATTTGCCTATAAATATATATATTATACGTTTGCTTAGGGTTTGAGAACCCTATTCACGGCACAGTAGAGGCAAAAGACGTAACAGTGAGTTGTACGAGAAACAGAGCAAGTTTGGAAGCTCTTAGAAGAGGTAAGAGTCGGCTCCATAAAAGTGTGAGCCGGCTCCCACACTTGTAGAGCCGGCTCCAAGGACCTTAGAGGCCACTCCAGGCCTAAAAGAGCCTGCTTTCCAAGACTTAGAGCAGGTTTTCTTCAATAGTAAACATTCTGATATATTTTTTTTACGAGTTGTGATTACTGTTGGAGCATGGGAACTGTTCTGAAAATTTTGGGACTTCACAGAGGGATTAAATGGTTTTTGGGTGTTATCAAGACCTTAGATTGATCAAAATTGGCCTCTGAGTCAGTGGGACAAACAGTATTAAATTAGTAAACTTTCTATACTGTTAACGGATGAAAGACGGATTAATTACTTAACTAAATTTTAGCAATTTAATGGGATTTAGGATGTTTATAAAACTTAATTTAAATGCATGATAGGGTCATCTATGTATTTGTTTTGATCTATACATGCTTTGGGATGCTACTTGTCGAAATATTAAACCTTTTTTGCAATTACTTGGATTACTGTTGGATTGCAATTGCTAGAATAATGAAACGTTTTTTGCAACTACTTGGATAATGGTTTGGACTGTAAATTACTAAATTATGATTTATATATTGTAATTTACATGGATATGGAGGATTGTATGCACCGGTATAGGCCGGTGGCATACTATGGATGGTTTAGCTTCAAAACGCTAAGACCTAACCTATCGGATTAACGGAATGGATTATAAACTATTGAATCCTAAATTGTGTTTAAGTCAGATCAACTGACTAAGTTGAGTGACTTCCTGGATTAGTTGATTGTAGTTAAGTCATATCAGCTGAATAAGTTGAGTGACTATCTAGATTGCGTTTTGTATGTCTCCTCAATGAATAATTGAATGACATACTCTGGATTCGGATGGACTTTAGATATATGGTTATGGTACCACGAGATGAGCTTGAGTCTCAAGCTCGTTGGTTAGGGTGTGTATATGCAGTGGATGCGTAACTGGATATAGTAGGTAGGTATACCCTGTTAGGTCTAGGTACTCATGCCCACCTTTGGGTGCGTTTTCGCATGTTGCCTTCTATTCAGGTTGAGACACCTATTATAGTCCAGTGAATGTCCCTTAGTGTGGATATATATATACGTATGGACTAAATAGCTATTGTGAGGGTATCTAGGGTATATCTGCGTATCGGGTCACTGTATGGATTGCAATTAGATTATAACTTGTTCGTGGGCCTGACCCACTCTTTTAATCTTTTCAGGTACAGGACGGTTCTAGCCTTAGAGCTTGATCATGCTATTCGAGGACAGTTCCTCATTCATCAGATTACGTGGGACTTCTCTCGATGTTTCAGTGTTATTTACTTTCAATTATTTCAGTTCAGTTGGGATTTTATTTAGGGGTCCACTAGATGGATTCCCGAGTTGTACTCTTGGAGGTTTTGGATGTTTAGATTCACTTTATTCATTACCATTTGGAGGATTTGATAATGGATATTTCTGTTAGCTTTATTCTATTTCTTATTTTATTTAAATCTTTGTATTTTGTGTTCGCTTTAAAATACTTTAATTATTTGATATTCCCTCGGGTTTGGGCCTGGGCCTAATTAACCCGTGTCTCGGATCCGAGGGGTATCACGTAACCCTACCCTTGTTTGTAATGACCCGGATTTTCACGGATATTTTTTTTCCGTTGTTTTTCCTTTCTGAGTTCAGTTCCTCTTCGCTTAGTGTCGTCTCGAGTGTTCTGGAGTGATTTCCGAGACTCTTTTCTGTGGATTGACAACTTCATTTGAGGACCGAGTCGTTTCCACATTTTTCGTTTTTCGACACTATTCACTTTTCATCCTTTTTTCTATTTTATCTTTTTCCTGTTTGACACTTTGTTGGCGTAACCACACTTCTTGTGTTCGGAGTTGGTTTTTGACTTCATGTATCTTCATCTTAAGTGGTTTCCACAAAATATGTATCTTTACTTTTGCAAGAAAGTACTCTAGTTGCTCCTAGTGTCCATAGAGGCATGGATGCAAAGTTCTTAGAAATTATTTTCTTTTTTTGGGGTATTTTTGTAAATATCTCTTGAAGATATTTTATTTCAGGGGTTTTTAAGAAAATATTTTTGGAAGATATTTTCATTTTGGGCCATTAGTGCAGTTTTCACTTTTTGGAGGGGTCTTTGTGCAATTAATGAAAGTTATTGCTAAATGCCTTCTTTTGAGCCTGGATTCTCGTACAGGATTCATTTTCACTTTTCGTCGAGTCGTGTACTCTTGGAAATTCCTTCTGGTCATTGTTTTCCAGTTTCAGAGTTTCTGGCCCCGGTTTGTGCCAAACTTGTTTTGGGCATAACTTTCTGCTCGGAACTCGGTTTTTGACGCTGTTTCTTCCTTTGTTCATATTTTATCATTTGAATCTTTTTCGTTCACAAAGTTTTACCATTTGAGCACGTCTGCTCAAATTTTACTTTTTCAGACCCGGAGGGCCCCTTCGGGGCATTTTTTGAGATTTCTATAAAAGGGGGTGAGATATTTCATTTTTCATCTTCTCCCCTCTTCATGCACGACCTGGAGCTCCTGTGGCAGCCCAAGGGGTGCTTCCATCTTCTCTCTCCTCTTTTGGTTCACTTTTCCTTGATTGAAAGTCTTCGGCCTTAACGTTTGTTGTTCCCCTCGCTGTGCTCTACCTTTCCCCCTTATTAGAATTCAGTTTTGACCATTTCTTGAGTTTGGTTTTGAGGTCAAGTTAAGATTTTGATGGGGCTTTCATGGGGGTTATGTTCACGGCGTTGTCCCCGACAAAACCTAGTAGTTTCGTCGGATTCGGAGTCGTTCCATTTTGATGGCTTTTGAGATTTTCATCTCAAATTGAGGTAGAGAATGTTTTAGGCTTTTGTGTGTGTTGTATTGAGTGGTTAACATGATTATACAACTTATATATATGCCTTGTATCAAATCTTGAAAGTTGTTAATTTTTATTTCTTTGTATAAGATTTAAAATTCATGATGATATATAACTTTGATTTGAATTGTAGCATACTAGAAAATCTAGTTTTAATATGTTTGTTAACATATATTAAATTGGGATTAATTAAATAAGAATTACTCTTTTTAATTAATATTTATCTTTTGTGAAAGATTAAAGTGTATGGCCGTACCTTGCATGAAATTAAGTTGTAGTATGCTTCTAAATTAGGTTTTGGCATGTTGTTTAACATACTTTAATTTGAGAGCATTTGGACAAGTATGAAAATCTAGAGATTTTAATTAAAATGATTAATTAAAATCTAATTAAGGGTTTCGTTGGCCTAATTGAGTGTTTAGCTTGATATTTGTGATAACTATGACTTATGTACTAGCATATGTTAATTTGGGACCATTTAGAGTTGTTTTAGAATTGAGAGATTTAATTATCATGATGTAATTAAATTCTACCTTGTTGCACCGTTGATTGAATCATGTAATTGACATTGATAATATGTTTAAGGCATGATTTTAGGCTTATAATGGAATTATGAGTTTATGTTCCAATATTGAATTATATTGTTATAGCGTGTAACGAATTGCACACTGAAGATTCGACATGTGATGTTATTATAGTACGTAACGAATCGCGCTCTAAAGATTCGACATTGTCATCCTATAGTAGTTGTGGATTTAGAGCATGTGTTGTGTGGTTACAATCTACTTGTGCATGAAGGTAGTTTCGTGTACTATTTAATACGTATATAAGTTGTTAACTTAATTATTTTGGAGTCTTGGGACATTGTTACTGTGATATGGCTAAAGTTCGGCTTTAGTGCGGGAGGTATGAGTTCTCCCCAATTGAGATAGTGCGCACTAGGGTGGTCTTCCCAGCGGGTTAATGCCCGGAATAACCTATTTGTTCTTGGTTTAGTCCGAGACTTGATGTCTAAATCTTCCACTATTTGTTTTCGCATTCAATTCCAAGTTTGCAATCATGTTTATATTGTGACTTGTGGTTTTGGCTATCGGCGATTTGATGTTGTTAAGTACATCTATACTAAATTGTTATATTTAGTTGATTTCACACTTTTAGATTTCTAGTTGATAACTCAAAGAATCTATGTCTTGATGTGTGGTATTAGATATTCTAATTATGCTAAATTGTTATATTTAGTTGATGTTGCATTTTAGACTTCAAGTTGATAACCTTGA